TGTTTTTGGAGCTGCATTTGTCCAGGCAAGTGGAGAGTATCCCATCACACTCCTTGTGCTTTGTAGATGGTGGGCAGGCTTTGCATTGTCAGGAGGTGAATTGCTTGCACAGATTTCCATCCTTTGTTCTGCTCTGCTGTTGTAGCCACAATGTTTATATGGCTGGTTAAATTCAGTTGCTGGTAAATTGTACCCCACAAGATACTGATTGGGGATTCAGCAATGATAATGCAATTAAATGTATGTGGAGTGGTTAGATTCTCTCATTTTGAAGATAGTCATTGGTTGGCACTTGTGTGGCATTAATGTTAGCTGCCATTTATAAGACTAAGTCTGCATATTGCCCAAGTCTTGATGCTTATGGATATAAAAGTATGTGATCTCACAGAAACACGACATGATTACAGCAAGATTTCCTTACTCTTTATGTCCCAACGCCCTAGCATTAAAGGATAGCATATCATTTGCTTTCCTCGTTACTTGCTGTAGCTGCATATTAACTTTTGCAATTCGTACAAATGTCAGCTTTTTTAAAATTTGTTTATGGGATGTGGGCTTTTAATGTCAAATTTTTATTTAATTCAAATTTCACAATGTTCCCAGAACATAAACCTCTTTTTATTTTGATTACTAGTCCAATGACATTGACACTAGTCCACTGCCTCCTCCTATGTCATAATGATATGGGAGGAACTCAGAATTAGTTCAACAGTTGTCCACTAGGCAATGAGGGACTGAGCTGCTTGGTCACCACCATTTCCTCCTGATGGTTAGTTTCACACCACTATTGATGGAATTCCAGGTAGCCTCCTGCTCTTAAAGGCAGTCTATCCCTCTTAAAACTGCTTGATTGATTCAGAGGAAACTGTTGTTGCAATCTTAAAGAGAGATCGAAGACAGGGCAGAGGGGTCTCTTTTATTTATGGATAAAGCACTGGAGGCCTCAATCAAGGAGGTGGTGGGGGTGTTAAATTTCTATGAAAGGCCAGGTGCCCTCATAGAATGTTCTCCAAAGGAGATAGGAGCAGGTAGCCGTGGAAGGCAATTCCTTTTGACGCTGAGAACCTTGTATCAGTGCTGGAAGAAAGTAATGATATCATGGGGGTAATCAAGGTCATTGAATGTACCTTCACATGATTCCTCCACCGCACTACCAACCTTGCTTCGCAGTGCACCACAATACTGTCACACAACCGGCAGCAGATCTTGATACCCAGGGGTTACAATTAACGTTCGGATACTCCAGCTCACCATTAAAATCTTGCACTGATCCAAGCCTCACAACTCCCTCTTGCTGCATCTCATGTGTCCAGCTACTCAGCTGTAGAAGGCACATTACCCAAGTACAACACTACACAATCGCTGCAATCACTTCCCTCTCTTCAGGCCAAGGTGCCACACAGGAGTCAGGCACACATTAATCTACTGGTCCAGACAGAGGAGATGGCACAAGCTGCAACAGACCCCATAGCATCTGGTGTCAGAGACTATCCAGATTATGGTACATTGCTGCTTTATTGAACTCTCAACTCCCAGCTCACCCTCACTTTGCTATCCAGCATGATGAGCAATATGTAGCTGTTGTGACCTTGGAGCACTTGCTTTACACCCCTGAACCCAGCTCCCTCATAACAAGCCCCAATATATCCAGTGTACCCGAAAGAGCAACCACACGTCTATAGAACTCCAAAGAGTTGCCTCACTAAAGGAAAAAGTATAAATCAGAAAAAAATGGAGATATGTAAGGCAGGCAGTATACTTGTCATTAGGTAATTTAGATCTACACACTAATTGATAAGCAAGAGTAACATGGAAGGCAAATCTGTAGAGTAAATCAGGGATTGTTGCTTAAAGCAGTACACTGCAAAGCCCACTTGGGAATAAACTGTTTTAAATCTAGTAATGATAATGAGGTAGGATTGATAAGAGATCTCATAGTTAAGGATCCTCTGGGGGTAGCAATCACAACATAGTAAATTTGAAATTCATTCTGAGCGAGAGCAACTTGGGTCTCAGAGCAGTGTCCTCAACTTAAACAAGAGCAATTATAGATGTATGAAGAAAGATTTATCTACAACAGGCTAGAAAATAGGCAAATCAGAAAGTCAGTAGATGAGCAGTTGCAGACATTTATGCAGATATTTCATAACACTCAGCTAAAATTTATTCCACTCGAAAAGAAGGACTCAACGAAAAGGATGAACATAGTTAACAAAGGCAGTCAAGTAGAGTATCCAATCAAAATCTAAGGCATATAAAGCAGTAGGTCAGAGGATTGGGACTGTTTTTAGGAACCAGAAGTGCATGATGAAAAAGCTGTTGAGGGAGAAAATTGATTAGGAAAGTAACTTGTTAGAAATATAAAAACAAACAACAAGATCTTCTATAGGTAAATAAAAAGAAAGAGTAGCTAAAGTAAGTCTGGGATCCGTGAGGATGCAACTACGGCATTCGTAACAGTGAACAGAGAAATGGTCAATAATTTAAACCAATATTTTGCATCAGTCTTCACAGTAGTGTACACTATAAACATCCCATAAGAGGTAAGCAAGGTGCTAATGGGAAGAACAGTCTCTACCAATTGACAAACTAATGGGACTAAAGGCAGATATGTTGCTAGGATCTGGCAGTTTTAAAGGAAGTGACTGCAGAAATAGTGGAGACATTGGTCAAAATATTCCAGAACTCACTGAATTCTGGGAGTGTTCCAGCACATTGGAAAACCCCTAATGTCACGTACCTGTTCAAGAAGGGAGGGAGACGGAAAGCAGGAAATTGTAGGGCAGTTAATCTAACATCTGTCATTGTGAAAATGCTAGAGTCCATTATTAAGGAGGAAATAGCAAAACATTTAGAAAAACTTAATGCAAATAAAAAAAGTCAACATGGTTTTGTGAAAGAGAAATCATGTTCAACAAAGTTGATGAAGGAGAGCTGGAGATATTGTATTTTTAAATTTTCAGAAGCATTCGTAAAGTTCCATATACAGGTTATTGGACAAAAAGGAGCTCACCGTATTGGGGTAACATATTAATATGGACTGTTGATTAGTTAAGACACAGAAGACAGACAGTCGGATTAATGGTTCTTTTTCAGGCTGAAACAATATAGTTAGTAGGATCAATCCTAAGGCTCAATTGTTTGCTATCTCTATTAATGACTTGGTGAAGTGGGGCAGAGTGTAATGTGTCCAAATTTGCTAACCATACAAAAATAGATGGAATAGCATATTGTGATGATGACATAAAGAAACTGCAAGGGTCTACAGATAGGTTAAGTGAGTGTGCAAAAACATGGCAGATGATGTTTAATGTAGGAAAGTGTGAGGTCATGCATTTTGGTATGAAGAATCAAAAGGCAGACTATTATTTAAATAGAGAGAGACTCCATTAAAAATGCAGCACAAAGGCATCTGTTTGTTCTTGCACATGAAACACTAAACGTCAGCATGCAAGTGTAGCAAGTAATTACAAAGGCAAATTGAATTTTGGCCTTCAATGCTAGTTTAAGAATAGGGAAGTCTTGTTATAACTGTACAGGGTATTAGTGCAGCAACACCTGGAGTGCAGTATACAGTTTTGATCCCAGGATTGGAAAGGATATCCTGGTCTTGGAGACATTTCAAAAGAGATTCACTAGGCTGATTCCTGGGATGAACATATTGACTTATCAAGAATGGCTGAACAGGTTTTGTCTTTATTCATTAGCGTTTAGAAGAATGAAGTGTGATCTTATTGAAACATAAGATTCTGAGGGAGCTTCACATGGTGAGAAGATGTTTCCACTAATATGGGAATTTCAAACTAGGGACATAGTTACATAATAAGAGGGCATACATTTAAGATGGAAATGCAAAGGAATTTCTTCTCCCAGAGACTAGTGAATGTCTGGAATTCTCTACTGCAGACAATTCTGGAGGCTAGATCACTGAAAGTATTAAAGAAAAGGCAGATAGATTTTTGAACTGTCAGGGAGTTGAGGGCTCGAGGAACTGACGCAAAAGATGAGTTGAACCCTAGGACAGATCAGCCACGATCGTGTTGAATGGCCTGCTCTTCCTATATTTTGTGTTCTTATCAGAAATAGGAGTGGACCATTCAGCCCCTCAAACTTGCTCCACTATTCAGTAAGATCATGGCTGATCTGATTGTGGCATTACTGCCAATTTCTTGCCTGTCCCCCGTAATCCTTAACTCACTTGTCAATTAAAATTCTGTCTAATTCAGCCATGAATATATTCAAGGACCCATCACTGCTCTCAAGGGAAGAGAATTCCAAAGATTAATGATCCTATGAGCGAAAAAATACCTCCAAAATTCAAGAGAAATTCATCTGTCTTAACACTGTGCCCTTTCATTCTTGATTCCTCGCAAGGGGCAACATTCTCTCTGTATCTACCCTGTCAAGCACCCTTAGAATGGTATATCTTCCAATAAGGTCAGCACTTATTCTTCTAAACTACTACATGTGTTAAGTCCCAACTGCTCACCACTTCCTCGTAAGACAACCCCTTCATGCCAGGAGCAAATCTCGTGAACCTTCTCTGAACTGAGTCAAGCACCAATTCAGATCTTCTAGATTTGGGCAGGGGTTCTCTTCCTCACAGTATATGACAAACGCTGTCTTTTATCATTTAATAAGGGACGGTGCTTCTGTTACTGCAGTTTTTGTTTGAGAGACTGAATGGAATTTAAAGCTTTAATCACCAAACGTTTAGACATAAAACATGTCAGAGTACTTCACTTAATTTCGCTGTCAAGTTTTTTGTCTTGTATAATTTCAATGAGATGAACTTCAGATGAAAGCAGTAATGGAAACAGAGCAGCTCTAAAATCAAATTAGCACTGGCCTTCTGCTCCTTTAATAATAGTACTTCCAATTTCGGAGAGTCTCCAAATTCCATTCCATTATTTACTGACTTTATTTCTTCCCAGAACAGTAAGACAGAGCTTTGCTTAAAAGTGAAATGTGATCCCCATTATCTTTGATTTTGTTTCCAGATCACTCACATCCAGCAAGAATATGAAATGAAAATCAAAGGCCTGATGCCTGCCACAGTGCGACACGAACTTGAAGATACCATTAGTTCCCTGAAGTCTCAGGTAAATCTCAATGGTAGAACGATCATTGTGACTTTTTTTATTTTAGCCCTACTTTCCTGTTATTGAAAATTGAGTTGTTGTCTGAGTCCATGGGTATCAGATAACTTTATATGCATTCATGAGATGCGAGCATTGCTGGCTAAGCCATTATTTGTTTCCAGTTATTAATTGCCCTTGAAAAGGTGATATACCTGCTGTGCTGGAGAAATATAGCAGGTCTGGCAGCATCCTTAGCGAGTTAACCTCAGTTCTAAAGAAAATTCATATTGGACTCCATACATCTCCAGGAATGTCTCTGGCACTACTAATTGTTTGCTGAGCCCGCTGCCAGCTCAACAAGGGGATCTGGTGTAAAGATGTTGTCTCATCAGCAACACAGGCATTGTACAGGGTCAGGACCCATACTTCAGATTCCCAACACCTGTTGGAAAATCAAGCATCAATTTTTGCTTTCTTCTGTCAACCCATCTGCAAGTGCTCATCTCACATGGTCTGCCACTATTTCATAAAATGCAAATTCGTTAAAACATATTTCATGTGTTGGGCAGCATAGTGGCGCAGTGGTTAGCATTGTTGTCTCACAGTGCTAGGCGCCCGGGTTCGATTCCAGTCTCGGGTGACTGTCTGTGTGGAGCTTGAACATTCTCCCATGTGTCTGTATGGGTTTCCTCCATGTGCTCTGGATTCCTCCCACAGTGCAAAGATATGCAGATTAGGTGGATTGAACATATTAAATTGCCCATAGTGTCCAGGGATGTGCAGGCCAGGTGGATTAGCCATGTGGAAATGATGGTATAGGGTGGATCTGGGTGGGATGCCCTTTGAAGGGTCAGTGTGGACTCGAAGGACCGAATGGCCTGCTTCCACACTAAGGATTCTATGTTCTATAACTCCTTTTATTTCCCCTAGCTCCTCAGTTACCCCACACACCAACCGTCTTCTGAATGAGTGAGTTGTAGGGAGAGCTCAAGAAGTCTAGTAACCCTTAACTACCTCCCCAAAATGAACAGTCTTCCTGTGTGAGCTTAAATGATGACTATTGATAGACAATTTCACTGTTAAGGGCATCAGAACCAAGCCTCAGTTTAATCAGCTTTCATTCTATTTGCATTTCTGCAAATTCGGGGTCGCTAGTCAGTAATCAGGAGTGGGATCCTTAGTGTATTTTACTCATCCTGTAGCCTGTCAAAGGCACTGGAGAACTGGCCCAATTTGGTACAGCCACCTGACCTGAAATCTCATGGTTTACACAGTCTAGTACACTTGAGCCTTTAATTGCTAGTCCAGGTAAATCAGCAACAGAATAAATGCCTTATGGAAGGAAATACACTAAATTGTAGTAATATTTATAACCTCACTATCTGTCAATTCCATTTGGTACGTTGTTTTTAAATCCCTTCATGGTCTCCCTGCTCCCAAATTCTAAAATTCTTTTATGGTCCTACAACTATCTAAGGTCTCTGCTATTATCTGAACATCCCCAATTTTCATCTCTTCAATGTTTGTGACCGCTGCCTTCAGCTGCCTATTTTCTAACTTCTGAAATTCCCTCTCTGAACCTGTCCACCTTCTGATGATCTATCTCAGCCTCCTCCAGAGGTCCCCTGCATCATAGATGCCAGTCTTTAGCCAATTCAATCCACTCTATGTGATACCAAGAAATGAATGGAAGCACTGGATACTGCAAAGGCTATGGGCCCGAGCAACATTCCAGTACTGAAATAGTACTGAAGATTGTGTTCTAGAACTTGCTGTTCCCCTAGGCAAGTTATTTCAATTTAGATTGAATAGATAGAATCCCTACAGTGTGGAAACAGGCCCTTCGGCCCAACAAGTCCACATCAAACCAGAGAATCCCACCCAGACTCATCCCCCATAACCCACCTAATCTACACATCCCTATGGGCAATTTAGCATGGCCCATTCACCTAAACTGCACATCTTTGGACTGTGGGAGGAAACCAGAGCACCAGGAGGAAACTCACGCAGACACGGGGAGAATGTGCAAACTCCACACTGACGGTTGCCGGGTCCCTGGCGCTGTGAGGCAGCAGTGCTAACCACTGAGCCACCGTGCCACCCTAAGCGAGGGAGCTCATCGCTTCTGGGTGGGCTCAAATCACCAACCTTTCATTTAACAGCCAAACGTGCTAACCGATTGCACCACAGAGACAGGCTACAATTTAGTTACAACACTCATCCACCCAACAATATGGAAAATTGCCCACATATGTCCTGTATACAAAAAGCAGGACAAATCTGAACTGGCCAATTACTGCCATGGGTCTACTCTCAGTCATCAGTAAAGTAACAGAAGATGGCAGCAAAAGGGCTCTCAAACAGCAGCTGCTCTATTAGTTGCTCAGTGACACCCAGTTTGGGTTCCGCCAGGGCCACGCAGCTCCTGACGTCATTACAACCTTGTTCCAAACACGGACAAAAGAGCTGAATTTCAGAGGTGAGGTGAGAGTGAAAGCTCGTGACATCAAAGTTGCATTCGACTGCGTGTGGCATCAAGGAGCCGTAGGAAAACTGGAATCGTTGGGAATCGGGGAAAACTCCCCCCTTTTTGGAGTCATACCTGGCATACATGAAGATGGATGTTGGTTTTGGAGGTCAGTCATCTCAGCTCCAGGACATCTCTGCAGGAGTTCCTCAGGGTAGTGTCCTAGGCCAAAACGTCTTCAGCTGCTTCATCAATTACCTTAAATCCTTCATAAGGGCAGAAGTGGGGATGATCACTGATGATGGCACAATGTTTAGCACCATTCACAATTCCTCAGATGCTGAAGTAGTTCATGTTCAAATGCAACAAGATCTGGAAAATATCCAGGCTTGGGCTGATAAGTGGCAAATAACATTCACGCCAGGCAATGACTATTTCCAAAAGGGACAATCTAACCACTGCCCCTTGACATTCAATAGCGTTACTATTACTGAATCACCCACTACCAACATGTCTGGTGTTACCATTTACTAGAAACTCAAAAGGACTTGTCATATAAATACAATGGCTACAAGTTCAGGTCAAAGGCTAGGAATACTGAGGCAAATACCTAACCTCCTGACTCCCTATAGCCTTTTCACCATCTGTAAGGCACAAGTCAGGGGTGTGATGAAAACTCCGAACTTGCCTGAATGAGTGCAGATACAACACTGCTCAAGAAGATTGACACCATCCAGGACAAAGCAGCCTGTTTGTTTGACATTTCATTCACAAGCATCAACGCCCTTCACCACTGATGTTCAGTAGCTGCAGTGTGTAGCATCTACAAGATGCACTGCAGAAATTCACCAAAGATCCTCAGACAGTACCTTCCAAACCCACTTCCATCTAGGAAAAAAAGGCCTGCAAATACATACAAACACCACCACTTGCAAATTCCCCTCCAAGCCACTCACCATCCTGACTTAGAAATATATTGCATTTTCTTCATTGCCGTTGAATCAAAATCCTGGAATTCCCTCTCTAATGACATTGTGGATTTACCTACAGCACATGGACTACAGTGGTTCAAGAAGGAAGCTCACCACCCCCTTCTCAAAGGTAACTAGGGACAAATAATAAATGCTGGCCAGCCCGCAAGGCCCACGTTCCATAAGTAAATAAAAACTTTTAAAACCCTTTCTTTCCACCTTAAAACACTACATACAACCTACATCTTTTGCCGACTAACCTGCATTAATATCCCCTTACGTGACTCAGCATTATTTTATTTGTTAACACTCCTGTTAGACACCTTGAGATATTTTGCTGTTAAAGTTACTGTATAAATATTAGTTATAAAAAGCATTTGACGTGGCTTTTACAGAAGCTGCAATGTGAAGGGACAGTATTTGTGGAATACCGTTGATTCCTCTTGCTCAAAACCCTCTGGTGAAGGGTGCATTTTCCACCTCAGTGCCATTAGCTGTTTTACGGTCAATTGTTCTGTGTAGTTGCAGTTGCCCACCAATGAAATGCACAACCTGGCAATAGTAACTTGGCTAACAATAAATAGGTCAGGTCAGTTTTGTTTCTTGGACTTGATCACATGTAGAAAGGGTGGTAGTGGTGTGAATACACATGCTTTCACTCCGCTCCAAACCTAGTGGGAAATTCTGGTGGAAATTTTCCTTGTCTTTGGACCCATTTAGTTACAAGCAACTTATTGGAATAAATCCAAGCTACTTCGAATGCTAAGGTAATTTCCTTTAGTTAAGCAATAAGTTTTTAACTGTAGAATTCAGAGATATGATCCTGTTGTTTGATTAGGCACAAATTCCACTACGTTAGTAAGACTGACACTCAACCGCACCACGCTGATTATATCATTGTCCCTAGTTTGGACATGCTAGCCAAACAAAACCAATATGTATGTTAGATGGATAGTTGCAGGCCAATGGAAATCATTTTTTCCCTTTAAGAAACCCAGATCTTGCCCCATTCATTTCAGCTGTGAGGTATTTTACTGTTCAAAGTATTAAGCAATTAAACGGGCATAGCAGGCAGCCATTATTGCGACTTATCAGAAGATAGGCCAGTGTAACAATTCTAACACACCATGGATTTTGTCTATACTTTCACCTTTGTGTCTGAATTTGAAACTGAGACAACAGCTCGTTTGTTACAAAATTTTCAGGGACTTTTCACCTGACAAAGCTATGAGCCATATTGCAATGTTTACTCTGGATAGATTTCAGAGTATAAAACATTTTACAACTTGTCTATGACGTGGGTAACTGTGAGATCCCACTTGAACTGCCGCTTTTTATTAAAAGAGCCAAACAATGTATTAATCAACTGATGTTGCATTACTTGCGATTGTCAACTGTTAAATCCTAAAACTGAGAATCTAACAGCAGGTGTACTTAGTGATTAAAAATATAATTTCATACAACTAAACTGTTTCTTATTACTTGGCATACTTTAGATGTTATACCAGTCAGATTTTGTTTGATGAATTTCTGCACTCTTCTATTAAAGGAGCTGTTTCACATATCCTAGTCCAATCACAAGC